CCATCTAATATTTAACTTTTGATATGCAGAGTAAGTGTGTATTGGAAGACCGCTATAGCGAGAAAATGGATGTAAATTTTCATCATAAAGCCCGCAAGAGATTGGCGGATCATTTTTCGGATGGTAGAAAGAAGAACAAGAGGCCTTACTGGTGTCTGCAGCATTTATGGGATTACTTGTTAAGGGAATGGCAGACCGAGGACTTTTTAAAGAAGGACGAACTAGGAAAGAAAGCTCGCTCATCCGGGGTGCTATCAGCATCGGGACAATAAGAAGAAGATTGGTAATTCCTTAAATTATTACGTCTTTACTTTTCTAAGTATATCAATTCTATTTATTAACCAAATTAATTGATTTTCAGGAAAAGAAGTATGGGCGTCCAATGCACCAAGATGGGCTATTCAGGGGAACACATATTTTAAAGAAGAAGAAAGAGGGGGATGCAGATAGGTGGGTCGAAGATCGGGCAGAGACTACATGTAAGGTTTCAATTTTCCTTAAGTGTTATAGTTTACTTTTATAAGATTTTTTATATACTAATTTAATTTATAATAACGTAGGGTCGCTACCAAAGTACTGTAGAGGACTTCATTTGTAGTAAGCCAGCTGGTGAATCGGGTGAGCCAACCCAACCTCCGGACGAGGATGCTGAAAGAATATGGTTGGAGATTGTTGGCGGCCCAAAAAAGGGGAAGGTATATGGGCTTTCTGAGAAAAAATTCCTATCGCTACAGGTGTGGAATGCAAGGAATAGGAATTTCCTCACAAGGCGAGACACTTAATAGGGAGAGCCTCTCGGCTATGCATGAGACAGTGACAAGGCTTACATTCGAGCTAGAAGCAACCAAGGAAAGAGAAAGGCTAAGAGATGCTCAATTTCTTGGTATGCAAACTCAGTTCAGAATTCTCCTTTCTACTGGAGCTTTTCCGTTGCCCCGGTCTCATGATTCATCGCCAGAGGCTCGACCTCCACGTGATCGTTCCTCCTGTCCTCCACGTGATCGTTCTTCCCGTCCTCCACAAAATCGTTCTTACCGTCTTCTAGATGAAAGTTCATCAGATAGTGGTGATACTGTGGAAAACACCCCTTGACCAGTACTTTGATATACTTTGAACTAGACTAATAGAACTTGTTTTGAATTAGAATGAACATTTTTGAACTTGTTGTAATTACTTAGTTTTTGATTGGTTTTGAATTGTGATGTTTAATTGAACTTGTTAGTTATAAAGTATTAATTGGATGTTTGGTTGGATATTGGTGTGGTTGGTGAATTAGGGGTTGTTTGTGGTGAATTGAGGGTTGTTTGATGTGAATTGGGGTTATTGGTATGATAATTATGTTTTTATTTGGCATGTGGTTTAGCTACCAAAACAGGCATTTTCTGCGAAAATTATTTCCAGAAAATCAACCGACCTCGGTCGGTGATTAAAAAAATTAAATTGCAAAATACCGACCAATGTTGGTCGGTTAATGCACATTAATTCCCAAAAATTCAACATTACCGACCAACTTTAGTCGGTAAGTTGGCTGCCAATAATTAAATTTTAATTACTTAAAAAAAACTCTAACCGACCAACGTTGGTCGGTAATTAAAATATTATTTGATTAATTTATTTTATTTACCGATCAAAGTTGGTCGGTAACAAAAATTATTAAATTTAGCACACCAATTAACAGTTGTCGATAATATTAAATTATTAAAATAATTTCCGATCAATATTGGTCGGTGGGTCAATTAAATTGTCAGATTGTCGTTTATAGTGACCGAGCGAAGTTGGTCGGTAATTTCCAATAGACTGTGGTCGGTATGTTCTACCGACCAGTAAATGACCAGCCACACGTAATTGGTCGCGTTTTGGACGGTTATTGGCCATTACCGGCCGAAATTGGTCAGTCTTTTCAGATGGTTTTAAGCGAATTTTTAATAGTGATCATACCATGTAAAAAAGCTGATTCAGGCCAACAAGTTTTTCACTCCTTTGGCAAGCTTGAATATGGAAATTAAAGTAGCCAAACCAAAAAGAATCTACTTAGCAATTTAATTTTGTAATTATAGTTGGGTGGTTATTTAATTTAACTAACTCCATTCCTTTTCATGAAAAAGAAAGGTGAGAGTTCATCATAAGTAGCTTCGACTTCAAACTGATGTTTAAGGCAAGGCACAAATGACTTTTCCGTGGTTGTCTTTTGTCTGGTCTTGTATACTTGGTAAGTAATGAGCATAGACAGACAACTATTGTATCCAGAGGTGGACCTATGCTATAGGTAGAGGAGTCATCGGCACCCGTATAGTTTGAAAAAAATTCTATGTATACATGTATATGGCTTTAGTTAACAATGATATATTAGTAGTGGACATCCTATATACAAAGAAGATTTTCATTAAATCAAAAAGTGCACCCGCGCCGTTCAAATCTTGAGTCCACCTCTAGTTGTACACACAAGGAGTATGGAAAGAGAAGTCGACAAAGTTTTGGGAGAATTGGCAAGGGTGAAGTCCAGTTTTCCTCATTGTCTAACCACTAAGAATTAAATAGAAATATTCTAAAAATTTCGTATTGAGGTGTGCGGCCTAGTGGTCAATGAATTAAGTGAGCGAGAACAATGAGGTTTTAGGTTTAAATTTTAGTAAAGACAAAAAATACTCAAGCTAGTGAATAGACTTGTACGGTATATATATGCTGGTGGAAGAGATATGCTAATGGGGCGCTCAGAATGAGTTGTATTCAATAATTGGATCATGACTTAATATTCATCAAAAGCTTACCTATATCATGATGAATTTGGTTAATTTAGGATAATTGATCTTATTCAAACCCCCTTAACTCGAAATCGCTCTTCCATTTTCTTTCACAATATATATGTTTAATTACAAAACTAAAAGAGTAGGGTGAGAGAGAGAAAATGAGAGAGGGAGAGTGTAGCAGATAGATGTATAAATAATTTTTGTTTTAATAATTTTAGAAAAAATATTTTTACGAGTCATTTACCAGGCTGTTAGATGAATAGATTTTGATTATGCCTACAATTAACCTATGAATAGTTTAAGTTTTAGTCTAATATGCAGTTTTGACGGTTTGAAGGAATTATTATTGCCCCTGTTCAATTTATGCATTTTCTATCTGCTTTAGTCTTCTAAAAAGAAATGTCACTTTGTTTCTATTTGAAGAAGTTTCTAATTTCATTATATTCATTTTATTCTTAATTGTATGGTTTGAAACATGAATGTCATGGCAGTTTAAAATTACTAAGGTCAAAAGGTTTTTCTGATGAGATCTAGATTCGAAGCTATTAGCAATGGAGAAATGGGCAGGAAAAGAAGAAGAACAGAGGAAGAAAGCTATTGCTTCTCATTGCTACAGTGATAACTAACATAACCGACTAATGGAAAGACACTGTACAGTTTATACTAACAACCTAACTACTCTTCTAGCTAACCAGCTAATATTTTACCTTATACAGATGTATACAGCTGTTAATGTATCTACCATTCATTCAACACCCCTCCTTAAGATGATGGATGAAATATATCTTTCAATCTTAGCTTGGACATCAAGTACTCGTGCTGAACTCTTCCTAAGATTTTGGTTAGGAGATCAGCCTGTTACTCTTTAGTAGGTACATGAAGAGTTTTTACCAATTCATGTACTATTTTTTCTCAAACAAAATGTCAGTTAATATCAATATATTTTGTTCTTTCATGGAAGATAGGATTGGCTGCAATTTGAATTGTAGCCTTGCTGTCACAGTTGAGAACTATAGGCAAATCAACCTTCACTCTTAACTCCTTGAACAGCCCAGTGAGCCAAGTTAATTCTGTAACTGCTGAGGCCAAACTTCTGAACTCTGCCTCAGCTGAGCTCCTTGCTACTGTTTCCTGTTTCTTTGACTTCAGGGATATAAGTGCATTCCCAAACTCCACCAAATAGCTAGTAACTGATCTTCTGGTCTGCAGGCATTGAGTCACAAAATCCCTCTAGCTTTCCTGAGCTTTCAGATGGCATCAACAGCCCCAGACCTGGTGCACCTTTGATATACCTCAAAACCCTCAAAGCAGCTTCCATGTGTGACTACTTAGGTTTGTGCATAAGCTGACTTAGAACTTGTACCACAGAAGCAATATCAACCCTGATCATAGTAAGATGTAGTAGCCTTCCTATCAACCTTTGATGCTGTTCAGCATCTGCAAGTAACTTATCTTCTATGTCAGAGGAAAACTTACCATTAACAAACTCATCATAGTCTGCAGAGGTAAGTTTCACATTTGTCTCCAATGGGGTGCTAGCTGTGCACACTAAGTCCCATTTCTGCAATTAGCTCTAATGAATACTTCCTTTGGCTCATTACAATCCCTTTTGCTAATCTATCAAACTCTATTCCAAGAAAAAACTTGAGCTCTCCTAGGTCTTTCATCCTGAACTTGAGTTGTAAATCATTCCTGGTCTGAAGGATCAAATCTGAACAGTTTCCTGTAACCAATAGGTCATCAACATAGACCAATACCAGTACCAACTCAGACTTCACTGTCTTTGAGAAAAGAGAGTAGTCAAAGTGACTTTGAGAGAAGCCAAGCTGTAGTAGAGCATCTGTGAGTTTCTTATTCCATTGCCTAGGTTCCTACTTGAGTCCATACAAGGACTTATGTAGTTTGCAGACACTGTGTTTCCCCCTGGCTGGCAAACCCTTGAGGAACCTCCATGTAGACCTATTCAACTAAGTCTCCTTAAACAAAAGTATTATGCACATCCATTTGAAATATGTGTAAATGCTTTGCTGCTGCAATGGCCAGAACTGATCTAACTGTGACCATTTTGGCAACAGGGGAGAAGGTCTCAGTATAGTCTAGCCCCTCCTACTTGCTATAGTCTTTCGCTAAAAGCCTGACCTTTTATCTCTCCACTATGCCAGAGGAAGTGTATTTGACTTTGAATACCCATTTACAACCAATAGGAGTCTTTCCTAAAGGCATCTCAACTACTGACCATGTGTGATTGTCTTCTTAAGCAGCAATCTCACACTTTATTGCCTCAATCCACTTGGGGTCTTCTTTAGCTTCATTGTAGGATTTAGGTTCAGTGATGGCTGAGTAGGCTGCCAAAGCAGTACCGAAATAAGGAAACACATTAGCATAGCTGATCATGTCAGAAATATGATAAAAATAATGGATACTCTCATTGCTAGGAGTGACATAGTCTTTGAGCCAAATAGGAGGCCTGCTTGTTCTAGCTGATTTTCTTGCTTCAGTAGAAGGTAAAGTAGAAGCAGGACAATCTACTTAGGGCAAACTAGAAGCATCACTATTTTTGACATGCTCATCAGAGAGATCAAGAGAAGGAAAGTCACCTACATCAGAGTGTACAGGTGAGGAAGATTCAGTAGGTTGGAGAGAAGGTGAAAATGGAGCATTTGAAGAATGATAAGAAGGAAGAGAAGTGTGTAGACTCTCTGGAGGTGGAATGGAGAGAAATGTAGAGGATTCTAGTACAGTAAATAGAGCTGAGCCTATGGAGTTAAGGTGCCGAAAGAGAAAAACATCTTCTTTGAAAACTACATCTCTACTAATGTTAAATTGCTTGGTGTGTATTTCATAGGTTTTATAGCCCTTATGTGTGGTAAAGTCGCCTAAAAAGACTGCAGGAACTGCTCTAGAAGAAAACTTGTCTATCTTTTTTACAGTAGTCATGTATCTGAGGCACCCAAACACTCTCATATGCTGCAGAGAGGGAGAGTTTCCAAACATGATCTTCAAAGGGGATTTGCCTTGAAGTACACAGAAGGAAGTCTATTTATGATATAGACAGCAGTGAGCACACACTCAACCCAAAATCTCAGTGGAACTGCAACTTGAAACCTGAGAGATCTAGTTGTTTCAAGGATATACCCGTGTCTTCTTTCAGCAACCCCATTCTACTGGGGAGTATACACACATGAACTCTGATGAACAATCCCTAAGGATTGCAATAAGTTAGTCATCTGTGAGTTAAAGAACTCACAACTATTATCTGATCTAAAGTACTCGAGTGAAGCTGAATAAACATTCTGTACCATAGCAAAAAAGGAATTTAAGTACCACTATGGCTTCTACTTTAGTAGGCAACAAGAAAAGCTAGGTATATCTAGAGTGATCATCCACCAAAGTTAGAAAATATCTCTTCCCATCATATGTAGGGACCCTGTACGGACCCCAAACATCACCATGAATAGTATCAAAACAACACTTAAACACAGTAGTACTAATAGGAAATGGTAACCTTATTTGTTTAGCTAAGGGACATATAGTGCAAAGATTGTCCTTAGTGTTACGTTCAATAGTGTGAAAATACTCCAGTTTTCTCATAGTTTCTAGAGATACATGACCTAGACTCCTATACTACAAGGCTACACTTATTGACTTATCAGTCCTTATTGTATTTACAGCAGGTACAGGTCTTTGAATTGAATCCTTGACTTCCGCAGAAACTTTTGATGCAATTGAATCTCTTGTTGCAGAGTTGAACACATACATACCGTCTTCTTCTCCACCAATTCCCCTCACCTGTCCACTAAAGAGCTCCTAGGAAATAAAGAAATCAGGGAAGAACATAACTACCCATTTCATTTCCTTGGTTAGCTTGGATACAGATGGAAGGTTGAACGTGAAGTCAGGTATGTGCATAACATTAGACACCTTTAGATCCTTTAGAAGATAAGTAGAACCTATGTGCCTAATCTGAGCTACACTACCAGTAGGCAGATGCACTTTTCCCCTTATATCATCAAAGATTGCATTAGCATTAGTCAACAAATTATATCTATTTACCATGTGGCTTGAAGCTCCTAAATCTATAATCCATTTAGTCAGAATTTCAGTAATATCACCACAGGAAGGCATACCTGCTGCCATAGCTGATCTGATGTATTCAGCTTGCATGCCTAGAAGCTGTAAAATTTGACTGTATTGTTCTTGAGTAAATTGAGGAATGCTAGCTTGAAAGCTTTGATTAACCTGTTGCATCTGAGAGGTTCCTACAAAGTTCACAGTGGGGCCAACTTGACCAATATTGCTATTACTAAGGGCTTCAGATGGATAATTCCCTGTATTACCTTGGGCAAAGTTAGCAGCAAAGCCACCTTTCTTCTTTGGCTTAAAGTCAGGTGGATAGCCATTGATCACGCCCAACTATGCCTTATAAAAAGGACTAAGCGGTCATTGCAAATATAATCCGATTTACAAGTCCAGAGTCGAATCCCACAGAGAACTAAGGCTTAACTACAGTTGTTCAATATCGCTAAGAAATACAAGTCCAAATAATTTCTTAATTATAAAGATTATAAAGTTTATTTCTATCTAATTAACTAACAAATACTAGAAAGCAGTAAAACTATCAACTATCAAGACTAAGTTGGAGATAAGATAAAGAAGGTCTAGAGTTATAATTTTTCCATTTGTCGGAATTCTTCTCGCTGTGCCTTATATAATTTCTTCTAAGTATTCTCTACTCATCGTGAGTACTTCGGGTGTCGTAATTCTCTTCCAAGCAACTACCACAATTTACTAGATATATTCTTCCGAACTATGGTAGTTGGCACTAATTCACTACTCACTAAGATCGCACCAAGGTTTCGTTATTCCTAATCCCACCTTTAAACCCTCTGTATTGATTTCTCATATACATTAGGAGTTATGTTGTTCAACAACTACCTAAATATATACCCTTTTCCAAGCAATACACACTAAATAGGCACAATCAATTGAGAGCTCTTCAATCTATTAAAATAAACACGTAGTTAAACAAGTAGAGAAATTTAAAGGCTCAATCATATAAAAACATAACAAGAATTCATCCTCCAAAAGGTTCCATCAAAATCCTAGATAACAAATTAACTATTCATAATAGTATGCAAAGCTACAATCCTAGAATCCAATTATGTTTAGCAACTCTGCTTCATAATGAAGCACTACAACACACTTCTACACAACTAGCTATTGCAAACCACATTGGGAGATGCTATAAGACTTAACGGAGAGAAAGGCTTTGACATATGAATGTGTTACTAGGTGTATTTCTCCTTTGTCAACCCAAAACCTAAAGGCGAGAGTTAGACTGATAAGCAGATCGTTGGACTAGCACAAGTGTAGATAATCCACTATCGGAAAGAGATCATTCAATTTCAGTAATTGCGACATGCTATCAACCCTTGATGTACTTGAAGTGGTATGGGAACCCAATGAGATAGTATAGAATAATCATGGAGGGTTTGCAGATGTTCATAATGAGTTCTTCATGGATTTTGACTTGAGAACTACCCAGATGATAATGAAATACAGAAAAATAAGAGAAACAGACGTCGTGCTATAATAACCACCGAAGGTGTGCTTGGTCTTGACAGAGAGCCTAGTAGGGGTCCTTACGAGAAAGGAAGTGCTATAATAACCACCGTCGTGAAGTTGAATCCTTCTCCTTGCTCCTAGGGTGCTCTCTCCCCAAAGTCTCCTCTCTCTACAGAGTAGTGGCTCCCCCCAAAATTGAGTATTAGGATGTATATATGACCTAGGTAGGGTGGAGGGCCGTCCAATACAATCCAATCTCGGATAGGAGAGCTAAAATCTACTTCTGCCTTCGCGCGTCGCGCGCCCATGGATGCGTACTCAGCTTTTGCAATTTTCCAGTTCGCAAAGCGATCTGTGCCTTCGCTTCACTTCGCTATTTTGCTTTAATTTTCTCCTTTTTCGCATTCGTTTTCATGCCATGCACGAGATTAGACGAGCACCCAATTCTTTCCATCTCTTTTTTTTTGTGTCAAATTGTCATATTTTGAGTAATTTATCATCCAAGCTCATTCCTACACATAAGAAACACATAATGAACTTATTTCACTTCAAAAACCATGTAATATCTCGTAACTCACACAAGAATTAATATGGAAATACACTCAAAAATATGCACTTTTCAACATTATCACCACCCCACACTTACACTCTTGCTCGTACTTGAGCAACTTAAAATTTAGCATAGGCAAGAAATACATTTCAAAACATACACAAGCATCACACCAATGACAATGGTTTATACCAACGCTTAGAACCCAGCATATGCACTCTTCATACATTTATTCAAGTTTTAAACTCATGCCATGATTATTTAAAATATTCATGCGACTCTTTCTAATATCCTCGCCTCAAAACTTGACTCCAATGTATTGCACACTATGACTCGCTCCTTGTGCCAACTCAAAATCAAGGTTTCTACCAATCCTTTGCAAATCATGTGCCCTCACCAATAAACCACAAAGAAAGTAGTACACACACTCAATATAAGTTCAAATATATTTTAAAGACTCTCAAATCAAAAGAATTTGCTCACTCTCACAAAGAAACTCTTATGCCACCCAAGTTCATACCATAGGCTTGCCCGTAGTGTAAGACTTGACTAATCTAAGCTTGCAAAGTTTAGGATCAAGTAGGACTTTATAGGTTTGTCACGACCCAAACTGATGGGCCGCGATGGGCACCCGGTACCTTACTCAACCAAGTACCAACATAACGTATCTTTCTTATTACATCATCATAGACAAGTGGGCCAGAAGGCACGTCATGATATAACCAGAGTAATCATGAGGGAATACCCGACATAGAACGACCTTACCTGATATAGAAACTTATACTTGTGACATACTGGCCTATAAGGCCAATGTGATCCGTTATATACTTTAAATATAGGCCGACAAGGCCATACAATTATCCATATACATGATATCGGTCTACAAGCCTCTAAGAGTACATACTTATCATAAAGGTCGGGACAGGGCCCCGCCATACCAAACAATACACGCTAAATTATACTGACCAAACAAGAAACTCCGGAGCAAATGGAGCGCACCAACATCTTCAGTTGAGCTAATAGCCTACTTGGAGGACTCTCGACCTGTCTATCGGACCTGCGTGCATGAAATACAGCATCCCAAGGCAAAAGTGACGTCAGCACAAATAATGTACCGAGTATGTAAGGAATGAAAACCAGTAAATAATAGACATGAGAGAAACGTGGAGTAAAAGACTCGACATGTAAGTCTGAATAACTCTTTAAATCATGAAATACTCATAGTGTCATGCATATGCGTATGAATGTCATGTCGTGCATAGGTACATGTGTTCATAACATCATCAAGCCTCTGAGGGCATCCCATCATATCATCTCGGCCACTGTTGGCAAAATCATCAACGTACACCAGCTGATCAGGTGGTGCCGTAACCTTTTCCCATATCCCATATACATATAATATACATATATATGCGCATATAACGCCATCTGGTCATGGGTCAATGTAAATTAATGCAATGCATGAGAAGTACGTCAATAAAATCTTTTGGAGTGTCATAAGACCATTATGACTTTGATTAATATCATGAAATAAACTTTATCAACTTACGTATTTTCTGAGACCCATGAACACAGATGATAGAATAATATGGCACATAGGGAACCAAGAACGTAAGCATCTCTAGTATTTCTATGAATAGAGTTATTCATGGAAATTGTGCATTTACTCGTTTCGTTTGTATCGTATGGATCATGCCAAAAGAAAAAAAGGATAGCCTTAACATACCTGAGCCGATTCTCTTAACAATACCTCTAACCCACGTCTTCTGCGAAAAACACATAACGGCGGATCGAAGTAGGGAAAAATCCGTATAATATTCTT